TGCTAAAAACCTGGAGTGAAATGCAATATGAAGACCTGGGGAGATGGCTCAGTGGTTGACAGTGCTGGCTACGCTTTCAGAGGACCCAAGTGTAGTTCCCAGTACCTGTGTTAGGTGGCTCACAATTACCTGTGACCCTAACTCCAGGGGAGTAGTGGCACACGCCTTTAATCCCAGCTCTTGGGAGGCAGAGGCAGGAGGATCTTTAGTGAGTTCGAGGCTAGCATGGTCTACATAGCAAATTCCAGACCAGCTGGGGCTGCTGGGAAATCCTGTCTCAAAAAGACCAAAAAAAAAAAGATGAAAATTGTCTTGCATGTTATAGAGTTTGCTGGTTGGCAAAATGTGAAGAAAGACTGAGCTGACGTAAGTCAGAGTGGCAGGCTCTTATTAGTCTACATTTGACAAGCAGGATGTTATGGCAGTAAACACAAGCAGCTAACCTGATTTAGGGGTGTGCGTTTCCTGGAGTGACATCTAAATGACATTTAAGTTGAGGTTGAAGTGTTCATGGAGCTCAGGATGGAGGGAAGCTGAATGTGATTGGCCACAGTCTGGGTGATTAAACCCCGTCATTTTTTTTCTCTGTGTTTGGAGGCTGGCTAGTTTCTGGTAAGGCCTGTTCTGTGCATAGTTCTGTGCACAGCCTGTCATGTCCTCAATGACAGCAGGGGAGAGACTATCGGTATCTTTTTCCCTCTTTATGGGGACCCAAGTCCAACTGGGTTAGGGCATTATTTGGAGCCCATATAATGTGACCCACCACCTCATAGTAACATACTGGGACATGATTTTCCATCTCCGTTGTCCATGTGACTGGATTTGGAACTACCTAGGAGACACGCTCCTGGATGTATCTGTGAGGGGGTTTCCAGAAAGGTTTAAACTGACAGGGAAGACCCACCCTGAACGTGGATGGCTGGGCTCCCCACCCAAATAGAGGAGAAAATGAGCCAAGCACCAGCAGTCACCTCTCCCTGCTTCCTGACTGCAGACACAATGTGGCCAGCCGCCTCACTTCCTGTGCCATGATGGAGGGCGTGGCTAACTGAACTGGAAGAAAGCCTTTGTTCTAGTTCGATTTTCTGTTGCTATATACAGCACTGCTCCATGCAACTTTGGGGAGGGAAGGATTTACTGGGATTACACTTCCAGGCTACGATCCATGACCCAGGGAAGCCAGGAGCTCATGACAAGAACCTGGAGGCAGTTATCATTGTTACTTTTGTCAGGCGTTTTGTTACAGCAATGAGAAAAGTCACATTAATGCAGGGGCTTAGGGCTCCAACAAATGTCTAATGCTGAGTTGTTCTTTCTGTCCTGCTTCGAACCAACTAGCTGAACCTGCTGTTCCTCTTTTTGTGACCCTCACAACATTCAAGGCCCTGTGGACCCCTGGGTTCACTACCTGATACCACCCCTCACAGATTCTTTACCATTTCATTTCTTGATTTAATTTTAAAAGATTTACTTTTATTATGCGTATGAGTGTTTTGCCTACATATATGTATGTGAACCACAGCATGAGCACCCACATAGGCCAGAACAGGGCATCAGATTCCTCCCAGAACTGGAGTTACAGACAGATGTTAGCCACCATGTGGCTGTTGGGAACCAAACCCAGGTCCTATGCAAGAGCAGCCAGTGCTCTTAACCACTGAGCCATCTCTCCTGCCCCAGTTTTTTTTTGTTTTTTTAGAAACAAGGTCTCATGTAAACCCAAACTTGCCATGTAGCTGAGGCTGGTCTTGAACTCCTGATCCTTCTGCCTTAGCCTCTCAAGTGCTTCGATGACAGGTGCATGCCACAGAACCCTGCTCCATTTTCTTCTTTAACTAGGTAACTTTTGTGTTTTGGTAAGAGCGGTTACAGGATTACAAGACAAACCAGGCTGCTCTTTGAGTTGTTTCGACGTGAGCTTCTTTCAGAAGCACCAGCCTTCTGTTTCCCCTTGCCCGGGCAGAACCACCCTCAGGCCCCGGCCTGTGCTCTGTGCCTCTGAGGCAGCCTGTAGACTCATGGTACTTCTCAGCTCACTGATTCCTTTCTGTAGTCCTTCAAATACCTCTGACATCTCTGCTTCTTTGCGAAAGCATTTCTGACTGACCCAGAAAGAAGGTGGTGATGTTCACTGTGAAATGCCTCCTTTTTTCCCATCATGCTTAGGTGCCATCCTTCTATGCAAAGTGCAAACGGATTTGATTACTGTGAAGCTTAGCTTAGTAAAAGTCTCTCTCTCCTTCTCTCTGTATCGTCTCTGTGTGTTTGTGTACAGACACATACATATAAACATATTTGTGTTTTCACCACAGTCGGTATGGGCTTTTGAGCAGTACTTTACACCTTTTGTGTATTTACTCGATCCATGAGGCTGGCGGAAAAGAATAAGAAATCTATAAAAGTATTCGGGGGGTGGGGGGGGGGATGGGGGTGGGGGGCCTGGAGAGATGGCCCAACAGATTTATTTATTTTTTGTTTTATGTGTGTGTGTCTTCATGTATGTAAGTGCACCACGTGCATGCAGTGCCCATGGAGGTCAGAAGAGGCCATCAGATCCCCTGGAACTAGAGTTATAGATGGCTGTTAGCTGCCATGTCAGTGCTGGTATTGAACCCGGGTCCTCTGGAAGAGCAGCCAGTGCTTTTAACAGCTGGGCCATCTCTCCAGCCCCTCAAGAGAGTTCTTTTTCATGGGAAAACACAATGTAAGTGATAGGTGGTGCCTAAGCCGTGATCCACAGCAGAACTTGAAGAGTTCCCAGACATGCGTGAACCCAGTTTAAGTCTCAGAAAATAGGAAGTTAGTACTCTTAAATACAACTTTTGTCATCATTGAAAAATGCTAACCTGTAGCTTAGCTGTTGCTAAGGATAAAAAATTATCTGGATGCTTTTACTAGAAGTAGATTGGCTGGTTAGTTTCCCATCGGTGCTCTCTGCTGCCACCTAGTGGAACAAAAGCAAACTGTCTTGTCAAGGTCAGAGGAGGAAATTTACAAAGTAAAATATTTTGTTTTGTTTTGTTTTGATTTTTGTTTTTTGATGTAAGGTCTCCCTGTAACTCCAGCTGGCCTGGAACTTGCTATGTGGACTAGGCTGGCCTCGATCTTACAGAGATCCGTCTGCCTCTGCCAGCGCGTGCTGGGCTTAAAGGTGCGCGCCACCACCCCAGGCAAGGTAAAATTTACAACAGGAAAAAAATGTCTTGATTTTAGCCGATTGCTGCTTCTTTGAATATATTGCAAGTTGCATAAAATACTTGTGTACGCATGCCAAGTGGGAAGTGTCCCAGGCATTCATGTGATAGGTGTTAAAATGCTATAATTAGGTTGTACGAAAATGCAATAATTTATTCAGAAATTGAGGTGCAGCCTTGATGATAGGCTGTGCATTACACTACGTTATGCTGAGTGGTTTCCTTTATCGCTAGAGTTCATCAAAGTATCTGACATGGAAAGCTCCAGGGCCCTCAGGAAACAGACATCTCAGTGGGTGAAGGGCCTCAGACGAGACACAGGGGATTAAAGCTAAAGTTTATCTCCTGAAGCAAAGCACGTGTTCTGAAGAGAGCCAGAGCAGACTGACCCCTAACCCCTAACAGGGGAGCAGAGCCCATTGAGCTCTGGGTTGTTGATGTGTGTGTGTGTGTGTGTGTGTGTGTGTGTGTGTGTGTGTGGTTTCCTTGTAGCCCCAGCTGGCCTGGAACTCCCTATGGAGACCAGGCTGGCCTCTATCTTAGAGAGATCCGCCTGCCTCTGCCACAAGAGTGCTGGGATTGAAGGTGTGCACCACCATGCCTAGCTTGTGTTGTTGGTTTTCATTTTATTTTTCATTAGTATATATTAGTTATTCCTACCAGGCCTCTTGACATTTTCATACGCCCTCTCCCCACACAGACAAACCAGGCCATAGTGAGTGGCCTCTTTGACATCTTTACCTCTAGAATAGCTACGCTTTTGCTCTCTATTAAGAACCACACTTGGTACTGGAGAGATGGCTCAGGGGTTAAGAGCACTGGCTGCTCTTGCTGGCATCTTTACCTCTAGAATAGCTACGCTTTTGCTCTCTATTAAGAACCGCACTTGGTACTGGAGAGATGGCTCAGGGGTTAAGAGCACTGGCTGCTCTTGCAGAGGACCTGGGTTTGATTCCCAGCACCTACATGTCAGCTAACAACCATTCCTCACTCCAGTTTCTAGGGGATCTGACGCCCTCTTCTGATCTCTGAGGGCATTGCATGCATGGCTTACACATTGCCTGAATACAGGCAATTCACTCATACACATAAAATAAAAATAATAAAATATTTTTAAAAAAGAACCACACAGACAGGCGTGATCGCAGCCCACGGTCTCTGCAGCCTCTGCTGGCAGACCTACCATGGCCTGCAGCCCTCACCAGCCTGGAAATACAAAGCATATTATGCTGCTGAAAACGAAACCTGCCTTCTTTCCGTTCCCAATTCTCAGCCACTGCAAACTTGAAGTCTGTTTTGCTGCTACAGGGTAAAGATGGGTGTCTCATCTCAGATTCTGTTAACAGAAGCAACTGCAGCTGGCAGATTGCATTTCCTCTGAAAACAGAACTCAGAAAGAAAAACCCAAGGAAAGTTACATGTTTTTTTATTGCATGTATTGATTCATTTAGTGTGTATGTGGGGGGGCGGGGGGTGAGTGGGACACGCGTGTTGCCGCAGCACGCATGTGGAGGTCAGGGGACAACTTGTGGAAGTCATTTTTCTCCTCCCAGCTTGTGGTTTCGGAAGAACAAACTCAGGTTGTCAGACCTGGCAGCAAGCACCTTTACCTGCTGAGCCATCTCATCAGCCCCCAAAATGAACCTAAATGCTCAATTCTCAGTGTTTTCTTTTGAAATCCCTTGAAAGGCTTGTATCACTAGACTTTGATTGTCCAGCCCCAGTAGGGAGGTAGACGCTGGTCTCTTTGGGACGTTGAGAAGGATCTCTTCATGGTCAGTTACAGATGTTCTCTCTTTATCACAGCCTTCTCTAGGAGTCAAGAAGCCTACCAAAGCCCTTCTCTTTGTGATCCTGAGCCCAGTGGGACCTTATTTTTCTAGTGGAACCTTTAATCCGGTGTCCCTGTGGGCGGATCTGAAGTACGTCAGAGCCTGGGAAGGTGGAACGGGGGACTGCAAGATGGGAGGGTAAGTCAGTCTGTGTGTCCTTCTGACCATTACATGATTGTCATGTCTCTTCAGTGGAGGTATTGGTGATGACAATCAAGTGTGAATGCTTGTTTGTGAGTGTGCCCGCCGTGGGAAGCATTACTGTGCCCTCGCTACACTAGAACCCTCTGGTGGGAGTCCCAGGCAAGAACTCCCGAGGGAGAATGGGATGGGACAGAGCTTCGAACCAGCCGCCCTGGACTCTGTTCCCCTTTGGTGGCAGCTGCTCCTGGATCCATGTTCTCAGTTGGTTCCAAAGAGCTCTGTGTGGAGAAGGTCCACCGAAGGTCTGTCCACACTGCTTGTGATCGCAGGATCTGCTGCAAATCAGCTGAGGGGAAGCCCTGTTTTGGCTCCGTCTACTCCGTCTCATCCACAGGCCATATGTAGCTGGCAGGAATCGAACCAGCATTTGAAAAGTGCTGGCCAATTTCAGGGGTGGACCTGGCCTTAAATTCAGAATGCCCCTATGAGTGACAAAGGATAGCAGGACCTAAGTGCCCTGGCTCTTCCTTTTTCTGAATAAGAGGGTGATATACATGTCAAACTCAGGGCAGTGACAGTCTAGAAGGTTCCTCTCCATGATTTGCTGGGAGGTGGAAGAAGATCAGAATCTGATGACTGCCTCTGGAAAAAGCTGCTGGATTCGAGAGACATCCTATAAATCCCATGTGCCCCCCTCCCCCATTCACAGTGATCTCGTATTTCCTCTCTGAGTGTTTGCAAGGGTGGGCTTTGCCTGAAAACTGTAGCTGTGGTGTCTCGAGTCCAAAGGAGGCTTTGAGCCCATTTAATTTTGGTAACTGTCAAATTGTTTACTTTGAGCAGTATCTGTTAAAGAGGGAGAACAGAAAGGCCTATGGTTAAAGGACTTTTACGGTTCTAGTCTACTTTTAAAAAGTCTGGGGGTGGTGATAGCTGGAAGATGCTCAGCGGTTAAGAGCACTGGCTGCTCTTGCAGAGGATCATGGTTCAGTTCCCAGCACCCACATGGCAGTTAACAACCATCAGTAACTCCAGTTCCAGGGAATCTGACACCCTCTTCTGGCCTCCACAGGTACTGCACCCACATAGTACACTTATATAGATAAAGGAAAATACTGCTACATATAAAAATTTAAAATAATTTTTTTTTGAAAAAAGGTAAGTTGGGGCTGGAGAGATGGCTTAGTGGTTAAGAGCACTGACTTTTCTTGCAGAGGACCTGAGTTCAGTTCCCAGCACCCACATGACAGCTCACAACCACCTGGAACTCCAGCTCCAGGGGATCTGATGGCCCCTGAGGGCATCTGTACACATGGCACACACTCACAAAGACACACATGAATAAAAATAAGTCTTTAAAAAAGGGCAGATAGGATAAGTGCTTATTTATTTATGTTATTGGAATGTCAGAGTTCATGGTGCCAGTGAGCAGAGACGGGAGTTGCATCATCAAGTGGCACTTAATTCGCAGAGCCGGTGATCTGAAGGCAGCCGCATAGCTCCTCACATCATGCCTCGTCTTTCATCTCTATCATCCACAGGCAGCACTGGAGGGCCACCACAGAGGCAGCTCCTTATCTGGAGCTCAGTATCGGCCCTCTGGTTAGGTGCTTAGCCACCTTCCTGAGACCTGTGATGTCTGTGCCTCTCTAACTATGGTCCCTTTTCCTCCTCTCTCTTTCTCTGTACCTTGGGACTCAGTCACTTCTTGAAATGTTGAGTACTCTGGACTGGGGAGGTGCTGGAAGGACGAACTCAGAACACACTATTGTCATGTGTCTTCGTACTACAGAGTGTGAAAGCACCCCGTTCACCTCTCCTGCCCCCATCATGAGTACAGCTGGTCACTGCTTGCTTTTCCATCTGTCCGTGTGTTGGGCCTGACCACATGGAATTTGTGGTCCCAATATCTGTTTAAAAGTTGATTAGCTTATTTTTCACTGTAAGTTGCTTCCAGGCATCCTGTGGGGAAATGTGGGTATGTCACCCACCTCAAGTACAAGGTTGTCCCTGGGCCCCTGGTCATTGACCTGTGTTAAGTCATGAATCACATCTTGGCATGTGAGGTGGTGTTCTCATAAGCTCTGAGGATTAGGGTGAGAACATGTGGGAGAAAGGACCTTCCACCTGCCCCCTGTGTCTGGTTAAGACGTTAATACCAGGCATTAAGTATATGGTGAAGTTAAAAGCATTGTGTGTAATATCAGACCATTTTATTTGTTAAAATGGGTTAGTAGTCCAGCAATACTTGCCACTGTTACATATCAGCTAATAATAAAATAGGATGCTGTGGGCTCTCACTTGAAGCCTCTGAACAACTGGAGAAAGCAAAGCATTAAAGAGGGGTGGACACGGGTGGGTGTGGCATTAAAGAGGGGTGGACATGGGTGGGTGTGGCATTAAAGAGGGGTGGACACGGTCGGTGTGGCTTTGCCTTTGATGATCTCAGAGACTGGGGCATTTTGAGGATAGAGACACTTAGCTTAAGAAGTGATTTACCCAATAACCCATATCTAAATCTGAGTTTTATTAGTTCTCAAACTCTGTTTCCTTTCTCTGTCTTCTGCTGATTAATTAGGGCAGAGTTTTATGGGTTTTTTTGACATTTATTTATTTTACATTCATGTATTTGTGTGTACAAGTGCCATGATCCACTTGTGGAGGTCGAGGACAACTTGTGGTGCTCAAGTCTCTCCTTCCTTCATGGGAGTCTCAAGGATTGAAGTCAGGTCGTCAGGCTTGGCAGCAAGTGCCTTTACCCACTGAGCCATCTTGTTGCGGCCTCAACCAGTGTGTGGGCCGAGGTTCACACAGAAGAGACAAAGCTAAGTATTCCTTAGCCAAGTTTGATTTTATTTTGAGACCATTCATTCTTCAAAATCATATAATAATGAATATTAAAGAGCAGTTGGGGAGACAGACTTACCTGGGGTCTTGTGTATAGAAAAATGTGGCTTTTTAAAAAATAATTTTCTCTTTTCCCTTTTTTGTTTTTTTTTTTTTTGGTGGTGTTGGGGATACAGGGCTTCACACATGCCTGGAAAGATGCTCTACCACTGACTTACATCACCAGCCATCACCATATTTTTTTTACTTAGAAAAAGTAATGTTGGGGCTGGAGAGATGGCTCAGTGGTTAAGAGCGCTGGCTCCTCTTGCAGAAGACCCCCCAGTTTGGTTTCCAGCACCCATGAGGGGTGACTCACAACCACCTCTAACTCCAGCTCCAGGGGATTCAATGTTCTCTTGTGACCTCTACACAGGTAGCATGTTTATATACATAGATAAACATGCATGCACATAAATTTTTTAAAAATTAAATCAATTTTTTTAAAGTGGTGAATGTTGGGTGTTGTGGCACATGCCTGCAAGTCCTACATAGCACTTGGGGAACAGAAGGAGAATTAGTGGTTCGAGGCCATCCATGTGATGTGATGGCTAACACATTGAGTTGAGGCCAGCCTGCTATGTGAGACCTTGTTTCAATGACAACACAAAATAATAGTAACACTGAAATATAAATAACATGAATTGAAAGAGATGAGAGTGCAGACTCCTGGACATTTTGCAGAGTTATAATTTGATAAACCCATTTAAAAGCACAACATCCCAAGTATAAAATGCGTTTCATAGCCTGCAATCTGCTGGATACCACAGCTTAGCCATATTGCTCACTGTAAAGTACTGTTCTTACCCTAGTGAATGTGTGCCTCACTGGGATCCCTCATATCTCATGTAACCAGCCTGGGAAAAGGTCATAATTCTCTATTTAAATGTTTATGGTCCTAGGAATTGAGCCTCTGGCTGTGTGCACATTAAGCAGCGCTCTCCGCTGACTACCTCCATTCCCAACCTTTTTTTGTTTTGAGACAGGGTCTCACCAAGTTCTCAGACTGCCCTTGAATTCACTCTGTAGCCCTGGGTGACCTTGAACTTAACAAAGTTAACAAAGTCCTCATGCATCAGCCTCCCAGGGTAGCTGGGACTAAGGGCGTGTGTCAGGATTCAAAATAAAAGTTGTTTTTATAGTGTGCAAGTTACTTTGGCATTTCTAGGTTCTCCAGTGGGTATCCCTTAATGTTATGGAGAGAGAAAGTAGATGTCTTAACAGGATAAGCTCTGTGTGTGTGTGTGTGTGTGCGTGCGTGTGTGTGTGTGTGTGTGAATGAAGACTTGAGGCCTAGCTCAGTGGGTAGAAAGCCTGATGACCAGAGTTCCATGCCGGTATCCCACAGGATGGCAGGAGAGAACTGACTCTCATGATTTATCCTGTGACCTGCTGCACACGCTGGGACACACATACTTTCACACATACACACAAAATAAATAAATAAATGAATAAAAATGAAAATTAAAGGACTTGAATTTTAGAGTGGGCGGTGGGTGTGGCTGACAGATGCTCATCATGTTCTTTTTCCTCGCTAGGAATTATGGCTCATCTCTCTTGGCACAGTGTGAGGCAATGGCCCATGGCTGCCAACAGGTCCTGTGGCTGTACGGGAAGGACAACCAGATCACGGAAGTGGGCACCATGAACCTCTTTCTCTATTGGATAAACGAAGATGGAGGTAATCTCTTCTTTCTCCTGTTTCCATGGAGCTAGGGAGATCCCAGTTAGATGTCAGCCCGGGCATAGGTAGCTCGGCCCAGCAGCCAGAGCCACTCAGCTTCTGCAGTGGGGTGTGTAGGGCTCTGGCCTGCCTGGTTTCCAGTGTACAGAACTGGGAATTGAACCCAGGGCCTCCCACACTAGGCAAACACTTCTGAACACATCCCCAGCCTTTTTTTTACTTTTCATTTTGAGGATCTCAGGTAAGTTGCCCAGGTAAGCTTGGACTCACTGTGTACCCTAGACTGACCTTGACTTACTATAATAATCGTAACACTGAAATATAAATAACATGTATTGAATGAGGCGAGAGTATAGGCTGATTCCTTTTGCTCCTGGACAGTCTGTGGAGTTACACCTTTTCAACCTCCTGAGTAGCTGGGATTATAGGCATACATCACCAGGTCCAGCTTTAATACCCTGTATTTTGTGTTTTGGTTTCATTGTGGTGCTGAAAATAGAACCCAGAGCAAAGTAAGCCCCCAAAGTTGTCCTCTGACCTCCACACAAATGCCCTGGCATGAGTGTGTACCTACACACATATGCATCATAAATAAATAAATAACATAACGCAATAAAAGTAAAACCATACTATTAAAGATAAATCATCGTTCCTAGAGATTTCCAATAGATCCTTAAAGATCGTGATTACTTGTAGACTACAGAAATACTTTTGTTTTTTGTTTTTTGAGATAGGTTCTCATGTAGCCCAGGATAGCCTTGAACTCACTATGCAGCTGAGGCTGGCCTTGAACTTATCTTCCTGTCTTACCTCCTGAGTGTTGGGGTTACAGGGGTGTGCCATACATGGTTGGAGGTAATTTGTGTTTTGAGACAGGGTCCTACTCTGATCCTGAGCTGTCAGGAATTCTCTACCCCTCAGTCTTGTGGTGCTGGGATTACAAGTGTGTGCCACTTATGCTTGGCTTGAAATTCAGTATTGTCTTTAGTATCCTGAATGCTTGCTGTCTTTGTTATATTATTATTTTATATTGTCAGAGTTGACAGGGTTCAGTGAAATGTGGACAGTTTATATAGTGTTAAGGTAAGAGGCCAAAGTGGCTGTACATTTACCGTTGGGGTTTTGATGGGGGTACAGAATTGAGAAACCCGTTTTCAGGCCGGTTTATGGTCTTCGGCTGTTAATTTCACAGTAAGTGACTCAACATTCAAAATGAAAAGCATATGTTAGCTGTGTGTGCTTGTAACCCCAGTGCTGAGGGCTGAGGTGAGCTCCTGGATCCTGGGAACTCACTGGCCAGCCAACCTACGCAAAAGACTAAGCTACAGGTTCAGTGAAAGTCCCTGTCTCAAAAACTCAGGAGCGCAATAAAGACATCTGATGTCCCCTGACCTCTGTGTGTGTGTGTGTGTGTGTGTGTGTGTGTGTGTGTGTGTACCTGTGCAACCATGTGCATATAATACAGACAGACACAGACCACAGACACAGACCACAGACACAGACACACAGACATACAGACACACACAGACACACAGACACACAGACACACACACACACACACACACACACACACGCACACACACGCACACACAGTTTCCAGCCAGATGCTCTCTGCGTTGGTTTCAATGAACGTTTGGAAGCTGTTGATTCTGCAGTAGCTCTGTCGTGCCTATGTCGCTTAGCTCTAAAGGAGGAAGGAGGTGAATGAGATGGTGCTCAGTGCAGCCCTGTGTACTGGTTTTGTCTCAAGTGAGCCTTACGTTCCGTCCTTTGGAGAGTAAACAGCCAAAGCCGTGTGCACACCCTGCCCTGAGTTGGCCCCACGCAAGTCTGCGGGAGAGGCTCCCTCAGCCCTTGGCGTAGGCGGAGCTGGGTGCCCTGGAAGCCCTTTCCTCCCCTCCTGCTGTTTGTGCTTGGCACTGTAAGAACACCAAATTTATGCTGGAATTTTTGGGCTTTCAAACTTGGAGTTATTATATAAACATACCTCTAAAGTGATGCTAACAGAAAGGTGGCCATTGTCGACCCCTGTGCTCAAGACACTCGATGGATCTCGTTCGTTCTCCTTGCTTCCTTCTAGCCCTGTTCCTTCCCACCCACAACCCCCAACGAAAACAGGGACATCATTCAGAAATGACACCGGCAATTATTTATGGGAGACGTCAAGGGCGTATACTGAATCATAGCTACACGATGTAGCCAGAAATGGTCCTGCTGAAAACTTGTTCCTTATCCAAATGAAAGTCATGGAATATTCCTGCATGTCTTTGAGGAAAGGTCAGAATAAAAATGAGTGGGTTGTCCCTGCCTCTTGCAAAATATGTAAGGCCTCAAGAGTCACTGTTTTGTAACTTTTACTCAAGAAGTCTTAGTGTCAGTGTGCTCCTTCAATTAGGCATGTACCCAACAGGCCAAAAACAAGGGCTGGAGAGATGGCTCAGCAGTTAAGAGTGCTTACCGCTCTTCCCCAGGATGAGGGTTTGGTTCTCAGCACCCATGTCAGGTGACTATAACCTCAGCTCTAGGGGATCTGAAGCCCTAGTCTGGCCTCTATAGGTACCTGCACATACCCTGTGTACAAATCCACACACATGCACACACACATACTCATAATCAAAAATGTAAAGGAAGCTCTTTTTTTTTTTTTTTAAATTTACCTACTTTTATTTTATATATATGAATGTTTTGCCTGCTTGTATGTAAGTGCACTTGTGTCATGCAAAGCCCATGGAGGTCAGAAAAGGGCATTAGATCCCTTGGAACTAGAGTTATGGATGGTTGTTAGCTGCCATGTGGGTGCTGGGAACCAAACCCAGGTCCTCTGCAAGAGCAGCCAGTGCTCTTAGCCACTGAGCCATCTCTCCAGCTTCTGAACAAATCATTTTACCATGTCTTGAAGCCTGGAGAGATGTGGAAAAGAGGATCCAGTCCATGTGGTTGAGTGACACTTGGGAAGGTGTTAGGCAGTGACTAGTGCTGTTGTTCAGCCTCCCTAACAAAGCTTCTTGACTACATCAGACTTTTACACCCACTGTCCATGGAGCCCCTTCCTCAGCTGTCTGTATGGTGAGCTTTTACCACGTCTACTCAGTATTGATTTCCTTGAGTCCTTCATCAAAAGGCTCTTCCTTCATAGCCGGAGAGAAGGCTCAGCTGTTAAGGGCACTTCACGCCCTTCTAATGGACTGGGGCGTTCGGTCCCAGCACCATGTTGGGTGGCTCAGGACTGCCTGTAACTCCAGTTCCAAAGGATCTTATGCCCTCTCCTGGCCTCCACAGGCACTGCGCACATGAGGCATACATTCACACATTCATACACACATACACATGGATAAAAAACAATAAAGGCTCCTTTCCCGTGACCCTCTTGGGTTCTCCTTTTTATCTCTTCATAAGTAACATATTGTTTGACACTCCTGTCTCCCCCATAAGCTAACACAGTGCTTAACAAAATCCTTGTGTACCTCTCCCTGTTGGAGAGTGAGTCAGGAGTCAAAATGGTTTGGTTCACAGAGTTCAGGACAGTAAACACCCAGTATGTATGTGCTGAGTCAGTGTGGGTGGTGTTCAGGCACTGTGCAGATGGACCTTCCTGCTTTGCACTGGACTTGACTCTGGACCCCTCTACCATGACTTAAATTCCCCTCCTCATGAAAATGATTGTATCGTCAAAGACAAGCTGTGCTTGTAGCTTCTGTTTCGCGTTCTGGAACTTGCTCCAGGTCCCCGGGAGCATGTTTGTGGTTGCAGAGAAAGATGAATATCTCTCACCCAAATGTTGCCATGTCATCAGCTCTGTCTGGAAACAGAGGAACAGATGTGGTTTTGTGACCTCAGGCTGGTGGGTACAATTGGCATCTTAAATTCATTTCTCAAAACAACATGTGGAGGCTGCTGTTTCCATTTAACTTCATCTTAGAGCTTAGCTAACTATAGGAAAGGTTCGTTTGGGGGGGAGAGACTACAAGCTTGCATGTATGAAAACTCTATACGTACGTAGATCCATGCATGCACTTCTCTGTCTAGCTAACTAGCTATCACAAAACACGATTATTTTGAGATCATCAGCACTTCTCAAATAACAAAACGTAGCCCCAGGAACATTGCCAAGCACCAATTTCTTCTTTCCAAAAAGCTATTTTCAACAGATTATTTTCAGAAAATAAATAATTCCCCAAACACCAAACTGCTGTATCCTAGCAGAGAGCATCCATTCATTCATTTTTAAATTCGCAAATACTTATCGTGTGCCACTCTGAACCAGACATGTGCGAGCATACACAGGTAGGCGGATCTCTCATAACCTTTGTGGAACTCTAACTACAGGCCAAGAGTGCAGGACACTTGAGTTGTTGTCCTGGCTTTTTCTCGGTGTCCTCAGCCTGGGAAAACTGCTTACATTTCTTTCTTCTGTAAAATAAGGATTGAACTAGGTGAGTTCTAAAGTTCTTGGTTGTTTTACTAAAAGGCCTGTGGGAGCGCCAAGATACCAGTACACAGCTTCTTGGACCTAGTCGTCCTTTTCAGCATGTTTGTGAATTCCTCTGCCAACAGTCAGTAAGTCACAAACACAGCATCTTTATAAGATGATGATTTAAGGCTTGTGTGGATCTAGGTTCCTAAAGGCCAGAGGTGGGGATGTTGAATACCAATGACAGTTCTTTTTGACGCAGGGTCTCACATAACCCAAGTTGGCTCAAACTCACTATGTTAGTCAAGGATGACCTTGAACTCCTAATACTCCTGCCTGCACCTCCCTAGTGCTGAGATTACAGCTGTAAGCCTACATCTGGATTTATGCCATCGAACCCAGGACATCACACATTAGGCAAGCACTTTACCAGCTGAGCTCATTCCCAACCCACTGAAGATGACATTTAATAAGAGCTCGTGCAGTGGAGGGGCCATGAGGTGCTTACACATGGATCTTCATGCCCAACCTTTATGGTGGGTAATTTGCCGGGATTTTCTTGTGGTAGACCAGGAATCCAGCTTTGGCGTTGTTTTGGATTTCTTTCCTCTCTTCGGCAATGTGCGTGCTCCAGCTTACCTTGAGCCCATTACATTCAGATCTCTGAGGGAGAACTCTGCATCTCCATCACTCATGCTGATAGCCTGCCCTGGCTTGAAAGTCAGAAGTGGGTGGTGTGGAAGCAGCACCACGAAGGGTCCCCGTGTGTGTGCGTGTGTGTGCACGTAGGTGTGGGTGCATCTTCATATGTGTGTGAATACACATATGTGCATATCATATGGAAGCCAGAGGTCGAGGTTGGGTATCTTCCTCCGTTGCTTTCTGCCTTAAGACACAAGGCCTTCCTGAGCCTGGAGCTCAGTGATTCATCTGGACTAGTTAGGCCAGCAAGCCTGTCGTTGCAGCGCTGGTGAGAGCCACTGTGCTGGGTGTTTGTGCTGGGTGTTTTTGTGGAGGCAGGGGATCTGAACTCAGGCCCTTAGAAATGCTTACTACTGATGTCTCCCTGGCCCAGGCTACCCACTTCTGATGGACTGGGCTTCTCCATAGAATTCTTAGGTGTGGTGCTAGCGCGTGTCCTAAGTAAGATCTTATGTATGTTGTTCTAAATGCCCAGGAGCTTTTATCTGATAAGGGACAACATTCACTTGCGGACATTTCTCCTGAAGACTATTCCATAATTCTTACTCTTTAAAAAAAATATTTTATTATTTTATGTGTATGCATGTATTGTCTGCATGTAGGCAAGAGCACCCGTGTCGTGCAATGCCTGTGGAGGACAGAAGAGGCTGTCGGATCCCCTGGAACTGGAGTTATAGACAGCTGTTAGCTGCCATGTGGGTGCTGGGATTTGAACCCGGGTCTTCTGTAAGAACATCCAGTGTTCTTAACCACTGAGTCATCTCTCCAACCCCAAACTCTTTCAGTGCAAAAATATTTTGTCACTTTATTGTGTAAGGGTAAAAGGAACATTATTTATTTATTTATTGTGTGTATGATGGGGTGGATGGGTATGCATGTATGTGGAGGCCCGAGGACACCTTGTGGGAGTCTGCCCTCTCCTTCCATCATGTGGGTTCTGGGGAATTCAACTAAAGTCATCATATGCTTAGTAGCAAACACTTTTACTCACTGAGCCATCCTGCTGTCCATTCTCCTTCTGTTTTTCTTATTTTCTAATTTTATATTTATTTGGGTCTTTTTTTTTTTTTTGACAAGGTCTCCCTGTAGCCCCAGCTGACCTGGAACTCACAGACATCTGCCTGCCTCGGCCTCCCAAGTGCTGGGATTAAAGGTGTACACTACCATGCCTGGCTTTATTGGGGTCTTTTAGAGATGGGGTCTCCCAGTAGCTCCAGATGGCCTGGAACTTTCTATGTAGACCAGGCTGGTCTCAATCTCACAGGTCCACCTGCCTCTGCCTCCTGAGTGCTGGGATCAAAGGTGTGTGCCACCACACCTGACTTAAATTTATTTTTAATTATGGGGTTTGTGCATGTGAGTGCAGGCTACCACAAAGGCCGGGAGAGGGCATCATATCCCTGTTGCTGGAGTTAACAGGTGGTTGTGAGCTGCTTGATGCCATACCGTGAACAGAACCCAGGTCTTCCGCAAGAGCAATACGCTCTTAACTGCCGAGCCGTCTCTCTGACCCCGTTTGTTATGGTTTAAGATAAGGGTCCTGCCTGAAGTGTGAGTTCAGTGCAGACACTGGAGAAACCTCGTGACGTAGGAGAATAAAATGATCTGTATGCTTGTTATTAGCCAGGTTGTGAGAAATGGTTTTAAAAGATGACTGTTCCTATGGCAGGTCTCATAGAGTGGGAATTTAGAGCGTTCTTGTTTCTCCTTACAGAAGAAGAGCTAGCGACTCCTCCGCTAGATGGCATCATCCTCCCCGGAGTGACGAGGCAGAGCATCCTGGAGCTGACATGCAAGTGGGTGCGTGCCTTTGCCCTGAGCAGCAAACATTAGCCTGACACAGAAAGTAATCATCACTCTCCTGCCTTCCTGGTGACATCATAGCCTGTGGTCCCAGCAATGCTTATCTAGTCTTTACATCTTAATCTTGAGTAAAAAGAACTCTCCAGAAAGCCTGTGTTGGCAAAGCTATCAAATAAGCACGTTTTATGGAGAACACGGAGAGAAACCAGTTGAACGAGATGTCTTAGTGAAGAGTGGAGAAAGTCTCCTGCCGGTCTCTCTGAGCTGTGTTTTCGTTTTTAATATTTATTATTTTTATGTGTGTGAGTGTGTTACCTGCTTGTATGTGGTGCACCTGTGTCATGCAGTGCCGAGGAGGTCAGAAGGCGGCATGAGATCCCCTGGAACTGGAGTTACAGATGATTGTTAGGAACCACATGGGTGCTGAGACTCGAACCCGGGTCCTCTGCAAGAGCAGACATGGCTCTTAAGTGCTGAGCCATCTTTCCAGCTCTGTACCGTGTGTTTTCTACCAACCTAAATGTACCCGGTCCATTCACTTCGTCTGTGAGCACTTTCTACCTTAGAAGGACGGCACAGCCTTTCTTTCTTGTGTTTACTCCCATGTGCCCCGAGGTTCTGGTAGGAACCACAAACATTTCTTGACACATTAATGTCAATGTAGCCTTGGTTTGGCTGCTTTTTCTCCTTACACTGTCCTCTGTCATCTCAAATTTACGTGCATGCTTATTTTAAAATTAAAACACTCAAAGCAAACAAAATTGTTTGCAGTGGACTTTGAAATGCACGCGACATGGGCAGGAGCGTTAGTGCATTTCAAGATGGGTGAAAGGGGAGTTATTTGGCTGGCATGGGTTGTGAGAGACACGTGCTACCTAGGAGGGTACCAACAGTATCTCTGGACAAAAAGACTTTGGAAACAGAGGAAATAAGTTGTAAATAATCCCACCAAACCTGGAGTAGATGAAACCCAGCTGCCGCCTGCTGGCTGCAGCGTTGGGCATGACATTTGCAAACTGTTGTTGTAATTTCAAACAGCTTGTCCTGTCCTGTCCTGAGTGTGTTTGCAGTTGGAAAGATGTAGTTTCGAACTTTTGTTTTAAGAAAAAGAATCAACCCAGTAGCAAAGGCCTGTTGACAGACTGCAAACACAAGCGCTTTCTACACTAATGATGTCCTGGCAAGAAAGAGAGGTTGTGAAGGAGGGGAGCTTTTCTTGACTCCTTAGCTGCAATTTACTTTCAAAGCTATTTTAAAACATAAAATGCCAGGAGGCCTCGGGGGCCAGATGGGAAATTGTCCAAAGATAAGGATGAGCTTAAGCAGCAAGAGAGAGGTTGTTTCCTCTAGAACACATAGCTTTCCATGTTTGCTGATTTTCTGGAACTCTGGTTTAACCCTTTATTTAGCTTTGAATCCAAGGTCACAATGGTAGAGAGATGGAACCTTAGAAGAGCTCCATTTCTAGTACAGAAATATTTTCCTGTCCTTCCATTCTAATAGCCTGAATTTGGCCCAAAGCTTTGGTTTTCACTCTTAGGTATTATGGGTTTGAAAAAACACTTCTTTTTCAGCTTTATTTTTATTACTTAAAAAAAAAACATGTATATAATTTGGAGGGGGATATGCATTGTGAGCGCAAAGCCCATGGAGGCCAGAGGCATCGGGTCCCTCTGGAACTGGAGTTGTAGGTGATTGTGAGCGTGTGTGCTGGGAACCACACGGGCATCCTCTGCAGACCAGTGCACACTCTAAACTGCTGAGCCCTCTCTACAGCCTCACTGGTCTAACTTTCTCTTAGGCCCATCCATTCTTTGTTGCGCCTAATTCCAATATCCTGTTGAGAAATTTTGAACTTTTTAATTTAAGACAGCCTCGCTATGTAGCCCTAGCTAGCCTGGAACTCGCTATGTAGACCGTCCCAGGCTGGCCTTGATCTCACAGCAATCCTCCTGCCTCTGCCTCCCTAGTGCTGAGAGTAAAGGTTTGCCAGGCATGGGAAATTTTGAGCTTTAATCACTAAGATAAAACCAGGAGCGTCAAAAGATTAAAAATGAGTTTTAAACAAATAGTTTGAACATACTTGATTTTCTTTTTCTGGTTTTTCGTCCTTGAGCAGATAAGATATTCCAACATTATGGCAGAAGGTGATGGGGTTATATCAATAATTCAGTGGTGAAACTTAACCTTAGTTGATGCTGAAAGGTAAAGGAGAGGACCATTGTGATAAAATTAGATGTTGGTGAACTTAGGAAGACATATGCACAATGTAATTTCTCATATAAAGTCCAAATGTAGGTGCCGTTTTCAAAAATAATATTTTAGCTATACGAACCAAGTCTATGAATTCTTTACTCAATAAGACAGTACAAAGAGAACCAAATTTGGTGTCAGATTCGTCTTGATTGAAATCTAGTTCCTACCATTTACTAGCTGTTTGGTCCAGGGAGAAACCCCTCAACCTGGAGCTTTAGCCTCTTCATCTGCAAAATAGAAAAAGGTAAAACCTGCCTTTAGTGTTTAAGACCTTGGTCTGTGGGTGGGTACTGATAAATGTTAGCAATCATTGTTAACAGTGGACTGAGATACATTCACCACAAAACACGTGGAATATGTATTAAGTAGCACTTAGAAGGAGTCTATTTGTTAGACTTTATTCATGATAGCAGCACAAGTTTTAGGTGGGCAAGTGTGGAAACATGCAAGGCATCCCATGGCAACCATCCCATCCTTCGTTTGTGAAAGCCGTGACCTTGAAATAGGTTGCTCAACATCTCTTGTCATCACCAGTGACAGGGTCTATCCTTTCCCACTTTCCCCCAGAGGGTTATTGTGACACTATCCAAGTCCAGCCAGAAAAACGTCGAAAGATAAACATTGTCTTGGCTTTTTAATATTCCAAACAGGGTGAATTTAAGGTGTCGGAGAGGTACCTCACCATGGATGACCTGACCACTGCCCTGGAGGGGAACAGAGTGAAGGAGATGTTTGGCTCGGGAACAGCCTGCATTGTCTGCCCGGTCTCAGAAATTCTGTTCAAGGGCCAGGTGAGACAGAGTTCTAGACGGTTGTCCTTTCTGGAAAAGACATTTGCCTAGGGTCAGCAAGATTGCTCAACGGGTGTTTGCCATGTAGCCTCTAGGACTTGAGTCCTGTTCACTCAAGTGGAAGGAGAGAACTGAGTCCACCTTACATTTCCTCTGACCACCATATGTGTGCTGTGGCAATGTGCCCCTCCACCTCATACACAGAATGAATGAATACATGTAATTTAACAATCCCTCAAACATTTGCCTGTAATTTATCAAGTGTGAGAGAGTCTAGGCAGTGTTGGGATGCAAAGTGTTATGTGACATGGCGTGTACCAGCTTGACAGCATGTCCCGAGAGCCAATGCCAGTCCAGCACCTCCCCTCCCCAGGGGTTTTGTGTGATCCCGGACATCATGGCAAGCCAGTCTTTTCCCTGGCTGCCTTCCGCCAGGGCCCATGGACTTCTGTCCCCTCCCGTAACATCTACCAGTGTTCTGAGGACGGCTGAGCGGGGAGTTGGAGTTCACTGTTCTGGTTCCTAAGAGTGCTTCTAAACTGCTGGATTAGGAGTGGCAAAGAATTAGGAGAATACACTTGAGAACAGTCAGTTCATTCATTTACCTGCCATTACCAGGCCACCGTATAGATGCTTTCCATGTGGTACACATGGTGCATTTATTAAAATCTTCCAATGGGAACTCAGGGATTGGGTTGGGGGAAATGCTTTCCTCTGACTGCATTTGTCTAATTTTGTATGTGCCGTGCGTCCGTTATCTGGCCAGGCTGGGGGCTTTCTCTCTTACCACAGAACTCCAATCCTCCCCATGTATAAAGACAGATGTTATTGTAGAAGCCTCGGCATTCTATGGAGAGCTAGGCATTCTGTAGACAGGCATTCTGTACTCAGACAGGCATTCTGTAGTCAGACGGGCATTCTGTAGTCAGACGGGCATTCTGTAGTCAGACGGGCATTCTGTAGTTAGACAGACATTCTGTAGTCAGACAGGCATTCTGTAGTCAGACAGGCATTCTGTAGTCAGACAGGCATTCTGTAGTTAGTTAGACAGGCATTCTGTAGTCAGACAGGCATTCTGTAGTCAGACGGGCATTCTGTAGTCAGACGGGCATT